TGTTCCCATTACTGTGTGTCCTGTAAGGGTAACGAGTTGACCAAATTCAACCTGTAAGCTCTCTCACTACTTCTGGGTCTTTCACTATAAGCTTGACATCTTTTTTACACTTTTTATAATACCATGTATAATGCTTCTGTGCTTCTACCACGTATAATGCTTCTACACATTGATGGACCTTTAGTGTGCTGTTTTACAATATAAAGTCTTATTTGAACGAATATAGTCATCAAAATGATTGAGTGCTACACACATTTTGGGGTATTTCTGTATTTTACAATAAATTTGTAACCATGGTGAAAAGATGTCTTAACATCTGTTAAATATCCAGTTTTGCTATGTACAAATATAAATGGTAATCATTAAATGTTGGTGGAGGGAGATTATATTGTTTCCAACAATATTCCCCCTTTTGGAAATTCTGTTTCTGGGATGAAAAAATGAAATACAAGGTAAATAAAATGTATCCTGTCAATTGCCGCATGTGTGTCTCTCTCAAAAACGTTGGTATGAATGTGAATGAACTTAATCCTGATGGGAGGACGTCTCCCTTTAAGCTGACCCGGGTGTCAGTGTGTGAAGGGGCGAATTATTAGTTGTAGTGTGAAAACCGCTTTAGAAACATCCATTTAACATTATTATCTGAGTTCAGCATCCTCTGGCTGTTGTGGTCATGTGTAATTTGACTGGGAATTCCGGGTAAATTGCGAAATCTTGACTGTTTTTATTTACTCGTGTTGTGTGAATCCTAAATGAGAAACCTTAAACCTCATGTCACACTTCCATGTCGCATGCTGAATGTGAATGAATGAAAACAGTTTTGATTCTGTGACATTGTCACATTGGTTGGAAACAAGTGACATTTAGATTATATTTCCTTGTGGCATTGCTAATTTTAGTCAAATAAAACTTTCTCTTTCACTGGAAGTTTCTTCCTGTTAGTGAAAATAAGGGGCTTTATTTTGAAGGAATGCGATGGTCAACAGGAAGTAACACGTCTCTTGCTGAAAAGGGAACAGAGGCTGATGTCATAAGACCCAGACTGTCACAGGTACGGCATCAAATCATCCGCAGGTGAGTTCTCGACACAAACAAACTGATAATAAAGTAATAATGAGAATTTATGTAGTCGATAATTGATATTGATTATGTAGTTGATAATTGTAAAAAGAATTGCCAGAATTGTCCGATTGTTTGTGTGAAATGTGTGACGGAGTGTTTGAGTTTCTAGAAGATTTAGGAGTTTTTACTGCAGCATTGAGAACCAGAACTTTCACCTAAAAGAAAACCAACCAACAAACATCTGTTGTCAAACTTTTTTTGCAACTTACGACAACGTTACAAATATTCATTGTTCTGTTCCTCAGAGAAAGCTCATGAAACCCAAACACCACATCCTTTTGCTTTGGCAGATAAAACCTCTGCTGCATATTTCACAGTTGCTAAATAAAGAACTTTACGAAGGCGACAAAGAGAACAATCTGGCTGCCACACAGTGGAACCACATCTACATATTTGGGTTTGATAGTGCTGTTGATCGATACCTGGGCTTCTGCTTACTTTGCCACGCACTTTAACACATTCATGCACTGACCCATTCACCTCTACAAATACTTCAGACACACACACGCACACACACACATTATACACACACACACACACGACACACACACACACACACACACCACACACAGGCAAGATGAAAATACCATAATCCGCTGAACCAATCTGCAAAATGAAC